TCTGAAGGGGTTTTTGGTTTTATATGAATGAGAAGCGAGAACTGGTGCTGCGCTAACTATAAACTGGGCCTACCAGAGAACTTAAAAAAAGGGTCGGGCTTCTCCAGTTAAAAGCCCATCTTGAATGGGCTGCTTGTGTAGGAGGTGCTTCCAACTTTCCCATGAATTTAAGAATATAAAAAAATCAAAATTAAATATTTTTCTTAACATTTACTTTAATATTGAAAATGAAAATAAGGCAATTTATACACCTAGAGTGCACCACCATCAGTTGAGCAAATGAGTAATTTATATTACCTCCTTGTGCCTTAATAAGTCCACCACAACACATATAAATACATATTAAAACGTAAAATATGTGAAATAATATACATATAAAAATACATAACAATGTCAATAAATTACTTTTAAAATATAAAAAAAAATTGAGTGGAGGCCGGGACCACATTGTTCCCAGTGTGGCTCCGCCCCTGGCAATGATGGCTCTAGACAGAAGGCCATGTTTGAACTTCTCACCATTACTTACGTAATTGGTTTGTTGTACAATTTGACTAACGTTGATGTGATGATCCCCACTTTTCATTCATATTCAAATTCCTCTCGCCCTAATTTAGATTAAATTAAAATAAAATATCGTTTGTGTTGTATTAAAAATATTTAAAATAATATTTTCTTTCGATTCATATAGTAAGAAAATTGTGTGTTACATAGATATAATATTGTTATAATGTCAGATGATTGAATGAGCTGAAGCAACCCAATTGGTGAGACTTGTCAACCTGCTGCGCACATATTTTTGAGTTCTAATCTGACCTAGAAATTTAAAAGAGGAAAATGTTTCACGCTATGACTTGCGTTGCGATCGATATTAGCACAATTCTATCAAAATTCATCACTGACACAGAATGTGTTGGGGTTATTGACAAGTAATGGATGCATGGCGTAAATTAATATCAGTCATTGATGAATGTGAATTTCAGTAGGAATTTCATATTAATTGAGATTGCGTTTTCTTTTCTCTTCGAAAACAAGAACACAAAAATTTGCGAGAAAAGAAAGAGAGATTTTCTTTTGTTTAGACTTAGTATTTAATATTATTTGTAATCAGGCTGCCCAACGAAGACATGTCACGGTATACATTCCTAATTAGATAAGAATCTAGTATGATTAGTATGTAAGAAAACCAATTTAGCCAAGTTAACCACCGCTTTAATTTTGTTTTAGGAAGTCCAATTTGCATATGACTTCGGTGTTTCTTGTCCTAACCCTACAAGGGTTTGTGTTTGTGTCTGATATATAATCACACGTACGTACATTCCTCTTTTATTTTGCATGCTGGTGTCGGCTGTTCCAAGTCTTTGGGGAAGTCTTCTGGTTTCAGTTTTTCTTTTTCTTTTTTTGAGTTGTGAAGAACTGGAATTCATAAAACCAGAGCGCAAATAACACTCCAAACTTACGAGAAAACCAGTATCCAACTTGAAAGGACTACCAGCAAAAGGCGAATTGGAAAGCAAAAACGACGTCGCGTTAGGAAGCAGAGCACCTCATCAGGCTGTCCAACTCTGTTCAGGAAGCTTATTTAAGCTTATTTCCACCGCAATAATTTGAGGTTTCTCTCTACCTCCCTGTTTTTGGCTTTCTTTTTAGTTTAATATATTCTTGAGTTTGCCAAATTTAAGGTTTTTTTTTTCCTTTTTACAAACATAGGGAGGCTTTAATTTGTTCTATTGGATAACTAGAATGTTCTTGTTATCAGGCATCAATGGCGCCTCTCACAAGGTCAATGAAGAAGAAAGCAGCAAACAGCAAGAGTCGCATCATGCAATCTCTTCCGAATGAGCTTTTGGTAGAAGTTCTTGCAAAGGTGGCTTCGAATTCTTTCAACGATCTCTACTCGGCAAAGTTAAGCTGCAAGGACTTCAACAAAATGGCTAAAGAAGACAACATATTCCAACGCGTTGACATGAGCAAATTCCCATTGGTTTCTTGGAGGTTTGACGACAAATTCTCCAAGTTTCTGAAACACTGCAAAAGGTGCGGCAACGAGGAGGCCTTGTACCGACAAGGGCTTCGCGATATTTTCAGAGGCAAGAGGGTGCAACAAGGAATCACGTGTCTGAAGAAAGCAGCCTCGAAGGGTCATGTCGAAGCGACGTATGTTTACGGCGCCATATTGGTGTGTTTCGGGGGAGAGTCAAAGCAGGAAGGCCTGGAGCTTCTGTATTCTCTCAATCATTACAAACCGAAAGGATTCAGCGTAAGAGAATGCAGGGAGAGGGTTAAAGGACTTGTTCGGAACATGTGGGCTGACAGGAAGGTGGTGGGTAAAATTGTACAAGCCCGCCATGAGACTGCCATTGCGAAAACATGCAGCGACTGTGGAAATAGACAGGAGATTTTCACAGTCGAGCGAGGATGGGATCCTCTTGATCATGAAAATTTCAGCAGCTGCAATACCTGCAGGTGGCATCAAGAAGTAAATATTTTCCGTGATATATTAAACGACAGTTGTACCCCTCTGTATTGAATGGATTGATGCGTATAGATAGGATGCGTAAGGGCAACATTTGATGTGTATCCACACGAGTTTCTCTTTTGCAAGCTAATGTTTTTTGTAAGGGCAACATTTGCCCACATGGCATTCTAAATTATTGGGGATATATTGTAAACTTAAGATAATCGGTTAGCTCATCTGCAAGCTATTCGATCAATTTAAAACTCACCAACGTTTGAATGTAAGATTCTCCCAATTTCTATATGATTTCCTAAGCCAACGTTAACGTATAAATGACAACCAATTTTTTATGTCAACACATGAATCTTTACAAGCAATTAACAGCCGATAATAAGCAAAGGCAGAGGGTGGTAGCTTAAGCAGGCACAAGCAATAGATATGAATTGCCAACTACAAATCTTTAGTCACAAGCTCTCAAAACATATACTGCCCTGGATTTCAATCATCATGCATTACCAGTGTAAAAAGTGCCGTAAAGCAGGGAAATATATTTAAAATACTCCAAGGAGTAAAAGTTTCACTACTTCGCCGTCAAAAGAACAGCCCAATTCAAGAACACCAAAAGGTTGGGAGCTAATTGCAACATTCACTACTAATTGGAAAAGAAAAACGCTCAACATATATTTTAGTTCACTAAAACAACACTTCCATTGTCAATAACATACGTCCAGAAAAGAAACCACATAAGAAAAATCATCTCTTTCTACTGTTGTTTAACTTCAGATTTCTTCTTCTGCCAGAGACGGTCCAGACCACTGTCAGCCTCTCCCTGAAAAATAAAAGAAAGAATGCAAAGAATCAGAACTGGAATCAATGGGCTCCCAAAGTGCAAATTTAAGTACTCAAAAAAGAGAGCATCACATAAGTCATTAAAGAATTATTCAAAAACCTAAATAACCGACCCCTCGTAATCTAAACTTTATAGAAGCATGGAAAATCTTAAGACAACTAAGTTTACAAAAGTTTAGATGCTTGTGTGTACTATTTGGGGTTTTCGGTTGGATTATGGGATCCCAGCATATGTTTGTGTTTACTTCGCTCTTCTGATATTCGATTTGGTAAATGGCATCCTCGAATTAGAGGTGAATCCAGAGTGGTTGAACAAATTCTGACGATGTAATTGCAACTGCTTTCTAATGTAATGAAGAAACTGATTGCTGAAACAAAATTGGTGATCTTTTAGCATAGGAACTTTTGGATATTGCGCGCACATATACGCATCAAACTTGAATGATTTGTACGTTATTTTCCTCAAATTCAGGTTGAGAAGTGCAGTCTACAATCATTCTACGAGATTAATCTTAACGAAAAGACAACAAGATATATACCCACAATCATTCTACATTCCTATTGGCATATACACTTACAACATGCCCAAAAAAACACAAATATTTATCATAATAGTATTGAAATGACAGAAAGAAGATGAACCTGAGCGCGGACATAGCCACAGAGAGCGAAAGTGGAGAACTGGCCAGTGTAGATGCCATTCTCATCCAGATGCCCAATGTTAATCTGAACGGATGCGTGGTCCTTTGAAGTGATCAGCCTGTTTGTGGCCGAGCTGCATCCAAACACCACAAAATTTTAGCCCAAACCCTAAAAATCATAACCACACAAACAAAACAATGATACAAAAATTTCAATTGAAATAAGATTTAAATACCATTTCCTGGGAATGTAAAGCTCAGTGATTTGTCCCTCCTCGTTCTGCATATTGTCGATTGAGTTGAAACCCTAAAAATCCAAATCCAACAAACACAGAAACAAATCTCAATTTTCTCAAATCGGTGGATTGGTAGGATGATGGATCGCTGATAATATTTTTGAAAGATTCAGAATGTAAGGAAGAGAAAGAATCTACCTTTGAACAGATATGATATTGAGAAGTGGTGGCGGCAGCTGCTGAACTGTAGTGCTCTGCGTTCGTTAGGGTTTTCTAATTCTGAAGGGGTTTTTGGTTTTATATGAATGAGAAGCGAGAACTGGTGCTGCGCTAACTATAAACTGGGCCTACCAGAGAACTTAAAAAAAGGGTCGGGCTTCTCCAGTTAAAAGCCCATCTTGAATGGGCTGCTTGTGTAGGAGGTGCTTCCAACTTTACCATGAATTTAAGAATATAAAAAAATCAAAATTAAATATTTTTAAAATTCAAACATCAAATTATTTATTTAAATTTCTGATTTTAAATCAATCAATTTTATGTTAGCGGACTGTTAAATGAGAAACCCAAACTAGAATATTTAATTATAGTTTTTGTTTGACAAAGTGATATTATACTCCGCACAATGAGAATTCAACTTAAGTGCAAAGGGGTGGACACATTGTTTTGGCCAACTGATTTAACTTCTATGGGGAAGGAGATTCAACTCAGATGCAATGGGCAGACACACTACCTTAGCCAATTGGTATAACCCATATTTACGAATCAATAATGTTATTTGTACCATATTTATTAACTATATTAGAGAGGTGGTCAGCAATGTAGTCAGTAAATGTAGTACAAATAGGGTCACTCTTTACGAATATATAATTATAATATGACAAGTAAGATGAACTCTTGATTAAACCTCACAAACATGTAACTATTATATTAAACAAACTATAACGTACACGTCCACAATCTCAAATCAAAA